GTAACTTGAAGACCAGTGACCTTCATTCAGAGGCGAAAAGACGGACAGCAAGAAGTGAAGAACGCCCGGACCGGTCCTATATGCCGAGCGAGGCGGATGGAACGCGATCCCGGGCCTCGCAGCCCCGCCCTTATCTCCAGGGAGCGGCCTCGAACACACACCACAAAGGCCCTTTCAGGCTGCTGGCAGCCTGAAGACCCGGAGCTCCTCCAGCTACCAATACTTCAAAGTACGGATAAAAGGTACCAAAAGTATTTTAACACATAGCTGAGTTTGCAAGGGAAAAAAAAATGTTCTCTGGCACCAAAAACCGAAAGAAAAGAAAACCAAGCCCCGGAACACACAGATGCTTGTGGCGGCCTCGGGGGTGTGGGTGGGAGGGCTCGGGCCGGGAACGGGCCCAAACGGTCAGGTGATGCAAATGTTATGCGTTTCACCTGTGTAAGGGCTTGAGCCCTGCGCAGGACGGGGCTGGGGGGTGGGGGGGCAGACACTAAGGCCCATTCATGCAGGTGGGGCCCTGAGAAGACTGCTCGCCAGTAAGGGGGGCCCAGCGGGGAGGCCAGGGGAGTTTGATGTCACTGAGGTCTTTAGTAGAAGAAAATAAAGTCCTAAGAGCAACTAATCCATCGAGCCTGTGTCATGTGGCAGGTGCTGCATCTGAATTTTACACCCTCCCACGGAATGCCTGCCAAGAACAAATGCAAAATTTTTCTGGAGAAACACTTTACAACCCAGGCACATAGGGGCTTACAGATAAAACAGATCACCACTAAAGATGACTCCACAATAAAAAAAGAAAAAAGAAAGGACGTGATCCACCATAACAGGGAACCAGCAGGCACCACTGTGGCTGAATGACACAATAAGCAACCAAACAACATAAAACAAACAGAAACCACACAGACATATCTGGTAGAGACTATAAAAGAATATTGTAAATGATTAAAGAGATGAAGGAGTAGAAACCATAAGGAAATTACACTGAAAAAAAAAACAACTAAAGACCTATAACAATAGATTAGATTAGTCATTTTAAAACTTTTCTTAACACAAAGTTCAAACCTAAATAGCTTCCCTGGTGAATTCTACCAAACATTTAGATAAAAGTAAATAACCAATTCTTCATAAACTCTTCCCAAAGATAGAGGATGAGAGAACACTCCCCAACCCCTTCTATAGGGTCAGTATCACCCTAACATCAAAACACCACAAGAGCCCTGGCTGGCGTAGCTCAGTGGATTGAGCGCAGGCTGCACACCAAAGCATCACAGGTTCGATTCCCAGTCAGGGCACATGCCTGGGTTGCAGGCCATGGCACCAAGCAACCGCACACTGATGTTTCTCTCTCTCTCTCTTTCTCCCTCCCTTCCCTCTCTAAAAATGAATAAATAAAATCTTTTAAAAAAAACACCACAAGAGATCAACAGACTAATACCCCTTACGAATATGGACACAAGCATCATTAACAACAATATATTAGCAAACTGAATCCAGATGTTATAAACGATTGTTGATTCAACATACAAAAACCAATCATTGTAATACACCAAATTAATAGAACAAAAGACAAAAACCACACGATCACCTCAATAGATACGGAAAAAAGCATCTGACAAAATCTGGCATTTCATGACAACTAAGAACTGAAGCGAATTACCTCAGTCTGGGAACTATTAGAACCAATTAAGTTCTGCAATATTGCAGGTTACAAGGTCAATACACATAAATCAGGTCTATATCTATACACTTGTAACGAACGATCTGAAAATGAAAGTAAGAAAACAATTCCATTTGCCATAGCATGAAAAAATACTTAGGAATAAGTTGAACCAAAGAAGTGTAAAGCTTGTACTCTGAAAACTACAAAACACTGTTTTTAAAAATGTAAGAAGACCTAAATAAACGGGAGGGCGTTCACGTGCACGGATCAGAAGACCTTTGGTGAGGATTCTACTGAATCCGAGTGGTCAGGAAAGGCCGAGGGTTTAGTCCAGGCTGCGGCGGGCTGAAATCCAAATCACGGGAAAATGCTGTGGGGTCAGGGGAAGAGCATTCTAGGAGGAAGCAATGGCTACGTGAAAAGCTATGCAGCAGAAATGAACTGGACAAGCTAGAGAAGGTAATGCTGCCGGGACTGGAAGAAAGTTCCAGAAAAGTGAACGCGTTTTCAATTCACATTTGCTTCTTCAGAATAAAAGCACGTACTCCCGACGGATAGTTTAGCTGTGTAGAGAAATCATACCTCTCTTTCGGATCCTCTCTCTTGCTATTTTATTTGGGAAACGGGTATGTGATAACTACTGTGATCGGCAGGACTCCTGTTGCCGCAGAACAGCACAATGTCATGGACACCCCGGAGCACCGGTCAAGGCAGAGAGCCCCTCAGCACGCCCCGCAGTAACTTCCAAACAAGACATCAGTCTCAAAACCAGAGCCCGTTTGCACCGTGATCTTCAAAATCTTACTGACATTATCACCGGCAATTGTGTCTCACAATGTCTGTGAACATGAAGAGGATTTCTGGTTATTTAAACTGGAGCAGGAGCGACAAGAGGAAGGGGCCTGGGTGGCCTGCCCCTGGGGAGGTGTGGCGCTGACCTGCAGGGAGCCCCAGCCAGCTCTTCTGCAGGCCCGCGTTCTGGGCCGTTGGCGCGCGGCTGCCGGGTTCCTCAGCAGGTGGAGAACTGTTGTCCGTCTGTCCCCTAGACCGAGCAGCTTAGGCCCGGCCGAAAGAATGCAGAAAGAGCGTGATGTCGCTACGCTGATCTAGAGAATGGTTAAAGCCAGGGCTGCTCCTCACCCTCTCCTGAGTCCGTCCTTCCCATTGGTTCACTTCCGTGCGCTCTGAGCATCACGAAGTCTCAGGACGGCGAAGCCTGTGGGCTTCCGAGCTTACCCGAAACTCACGGACCTACTGAAGACCCTAACACAAATGGCCTTTTGAGAACACTCCCACCTTTGGACACGAACCTGTATCACGTTCGGCTGTGCCTCTGCTACAGCTTTCGTCGTTGTGCTCCTGAAATCCTACCTCCTGCACACGGATTAAAGGCTTAGGTCAAGCCCAGGTCACTCTGTCCCCCTGCAGCCCCAGCACAGCGCCTGGCACAGAGCAGATAATCGATACGCACTTGCTCTTTTGTTCAACAAACACCCGCCAGGGATCCACGTGCCAGACACTGAGCTGGGGGCTGAACGGCACTACTCTTAGAGCCAGTACCAGCCAAGAACTGACCGTTCTCAACGCCTTCTAAAGGAGCAGAATGGTCCTAACCGGGAAATTATGTCTATAAAGGAGAGTTTAAAATGGCTGGATATCTGTTCGCAGATTTGCATACAATTATGAACCTGGTCCTTAGATCAAATTCCAACTTTGGCAATCAAATCGAACCATCTGAGATACTCGCTGGCTTTATTTTATGGTGGCTTATTAGTCTCTCTCTCCTGGGTCTGAATCACACTGCCGAGCTGTAAGGTGTTAAAGGTTAGGCCTCTGCTCTCTTTCCGGCTCCTCGCTTGACTGCCTTGCCGCTGAGATCAGATGACCCCATTCAGCAGAAGGCTCAGAGGGAAGTTCTAAAAGGTGATCTTCAAAGTCAAGCCAGTGATTTTCAAGTTTAGATGAAAACTAACAGACATTCTCGAGAAGCCTAATACGCACCAGTGATAATTACAAGGTCACGAGTACGTCTCAGTATGGCAAGGGAAACCCAACTGGCAAATCTCGTGAGCCCAATGTCAGAAACCTGTTCCAACAGGAGGTAGCTGCTTCCACTGCCTTGAAAACCTAGAGCTGATGTGTGATTTCCCCCAACATCCAAAAACACGCAACCTTTTAGTTGCCAAGCAAGATATGTTTTATAGCTGGCAGATCCTGTAACATTGTCCTGGAGTCCAAGTGTGTGTGTCTGGCCCAAGCCCAGCAGCAGCTCACACACTTGGAGTTCCCACCCGGGCCACACAGTGCTGTCTTTGTGTGCATTTCCCAGCGAACTTAATCACAGGAGAAGCTGAGCAGCCTCCTATCTTCACAGCCCATAAAAGATGCAATTGCACCCAGACAGAAGTTTAAAAAAAAAAAATCAGACTGTAACCTCCCGCCAAGCTCCCTGGGTGAACGTCTCAGGTGCCAAGAGGTGTTCCCGCTGGGAGAAGCCTGTTCTGGATCTTCAGAATCTAGGCTGCGGCTGGGGTGAAGACAGAGCGGGAAGCGTCAGGGGTCTGCCCCTGCTCAGACTCTTGAGAGCCGAAAGGAAGAACTGCCTCCATACCGCAGCTCAGCGCGGAGTTCTAAGTCTTGTGAATAGCTTGGTGACATTACACTGAGTTAAATGTCGTCCTCAAATGTAAAGTTTAGACATGTAACCACATCTCGGCACATAGTAATTTTTCGTATAGGAGGAACTTCCCACACTGCAAGTGGCAGGTCCCCTTTCCTCATCAAGAGAGCCTCTGCCACGGGGTCCCTCAGATCTTTGGGGTCAGCAAGAGGGGTGCGGGGGGCGGGGGGAAGGTGTGAAGCGCGCAAATCAAAGCAACTGGAGGACGTGGGCCCCTCTTCCCGCGGTCCGCAAAAGGTAGGGCTGGTAGTCGGCGGGGCCTCCGAGACCAGCTCCGTGCGGGACACAGCAGGGCTCTGGGAACACAGGCCCGACCGCCCTCGGGGCAGGCCCTGTCCCCGCAGGAGAGAAACCCCGGCTACCGACGCTTCCCGGGGTCCCTGCGTCCCCAGGAGCTCCCGGCCGGAAGCGAAGCGGCCCCGGTCGGCCGCCCGCCCCGCCGGGTGTGCCAACAGGTGGGTACACCCCGCCCACTTAGCCCCTCTCGCCTCCGCCCCGCCCACCCGGGCCGCTTAGACCCTCCCACCAGCCCGGGCCCGCCTCCTCTCCTTCCCCCGGCCTCTAGGCCACGCCCACCCTGGCCGCCTCAGGTGGGGCCAGCCCCGCCCAACCGGGCCGCGCTCCCTCGCGGCCGCCCCGCCCACTCGGCCCCGCCCACCCCGCCGCCTCAGGTGGGGCGGCCCGGCCCGGCCCGCTCGTCCAGCTGGCGTCAGGCCGCGTCTCCCCTGCTCCTCGCCGTCTTCCGCGGCGGAGGCGGCGGCGCTGCAAGTTTTGACGTCTCGGCGGCGGAGACGTGCGCCGGCACTCGGGGCCCACGGGCTGCGGCGGCGGCTGACCCTCGAGGGTCCCTCGGTCGCGCCCCTGCAATCCCGCCGCCCGGGGTCGGGCGGCCACGAGGCCCGGCCGCGTCCTCCCGCGCTCGCCCGTCCGGCGGCTGCAGCCATGTCGAAGGGGCCGGAGGAGGTGAACCGGCTCACCGAGAGCACCTACCGGGTACGCGGGCCCGGGGCGGGGGCCGGGGGCCGGGGGCCGGGGCGCTCCGGGACTCGGGGTTCGGGGCCGAGCAAGTGGGGGGGGGGCCCGGCCGGCCGAAGGTCCGGCTTTTTCACCTTGGGGCGAGGAGGGGACTTTTCGCGGGAAGAGCCTCCCCTCCCCTCCCCCCGCTCCGGGCGCCGGAGACGCCCATGGCGCTACTTAGTTTACACCCCGACGTGTTCGGGGGGACTTGGCGGAAGGGGCGGTGATCGGTGCGGTTTCGGGGGCCACGCCCGCTCCGAGCTGCTGCCCGGAGTCGTGGCCGCGCCGAGCCTCCCCGAGGCCGGGGCCGAGCTCGTGCCCGCGAAGGAGGCAGAGCCGCGCGGGGCCCGGCCGGGAGGGACTGGCGGGCGCGCCAGGTGAGCCGAGCGGCCGGGGACTCCGCGGGGCGGCGCTCCGGGGGGGCGCTCGACCCTCGCTCCCGCCGACCCCCTCCCCTCTCGCGAGCGGCTGGAAGTTCAACTTGGCGTTCACTGGAGTCCAGCAAACCTCCACCCGGGGTTTTCCGAAAAGTGCCCGGACCTCAAGGAACGCCGTGACGGTCCATCTCTTAACGCACACTCATTGCGCGAGAGTTCCTCCGGAAACAGACACAGACTTGGGATTAGTGACCCGTCGAGTCAGTTTCAGTGGGAAATGAATCCCAGGGGGAATAAGAGACGTGTTCAATCATCTGCTATTAATAGAACACAAAACAACTTTTGTTGTAATTCGGCTGAGGCTCGTGGAACCCCTGAGACTTTTAAAGTTTTCCAAGTCGTGTATAGTCATTTTTTAAGGCCCGCAGTGTGGTCATTTTTATACTTTTTTTTTTCCACCTTAAAACTCTAGTCCTCTAGATTGGCAGGGTCTGCGTGAATTCCTCAAATCAGGATTTTATTGACTTTCGTTGGATAAGAATTTTAAGACAGCGTGGAAATATATTCGTAATCTATCTGTTGAAGTTCAAACATTTTTATTTCCTTCATCGGAATACGAAAGTACTGTAACGTGTGGACTATAATTTATAGGTTCATAGACACCGTTGACAGGGCATTTGGGGGGCTCAGTAAGGCCCTGTGACCAAAACCCGTTCCTTAGCCATGTCTTTCCTTAATGAGGGCATTTAGAAACCCCAGAAATTTGAGTGTTAAAGTTTTACATTTGTACTGAGGCTGTTACTTTTAAGTGCTGGTGAAGATGGCGGGTCAGGAAGCGTGAGGTCTTTTCAAAGTGTGTAAATAAAACGTTCCTGCTCAGACGCAGGCAGTGGTGGCCACTCTGACGGCTGTCAGTTAAGGAAGAACCGTGGGATTGAGGAATGCAGGTCACTGCGCATTGGAGGCCGAGCCTGAGTCCCCGCAGGGCCAGGGAAGCTTGAGAAAGTGCACACACAGATTCCTCTCCCCGCTGGCCGCCTCCGAGAACGGGCACACTTATCTGTCCAATCTGAGAGGAGATAGCAGCTTGAGACGAGCAGTCAGGCGCTCCGAAGTGATTTGGCTGTGCTTTATTCCTTTCACTTTCAGCCCTTCTACCCCAAGGAGGGGCTGGTACTCAAGGGAACTACAGCCCCGCAGATGCCAGCCGCACACTTTAGCCGGTTGCATTACCCGAGGGCCTGGGGCAGGAGGGGGAAAGTGTGGATTTCGTAGTTTGGGTTATATGTATTTGTAAGGCCATATAAAAAATGCCCATGCCTTGAAAGGTTATTCATAGCACATTGCTTTTATTCCCAGGTGTTTTAAAGTACACTAAAAGCTCACAGATGTTTGTTGATTGACCTCAATCACCACGCCCTCGTTAATGTTGTAGGGTCGTGTTTTTTATGTTGAGATGGTAAAATAAGAATAGACAACTCCAGACAAAAAGTTTATATGTAAGCAATGAAGTGAGTGCTGCTAGTTTGTGCTTTGTCTGCGATGGAAATGCACAGTGAAATTGTATATTCACAGGGCTGAGCTGAAAGCCTGAAATTCTTTCACCTCCTGCCCACCGGGTTCTTGCTCCCCATGCCCCTGCCCCCTACCAAAGCTGAAAACAGTTTAAGCCTAATAGGGTAAAAAAATCTGTCAGTGTTGATGAGTCTAGCTAGTTTTTTTTTTAAGAGACTTCCTTTATGTTACCTAGCAATCTACAATGTTTTACTAATAGAACCACAACCTAACCAGGTGCGTTTACAAAAGACACCTGCAGATGAGATTTTATGACTTGTTTGTATGGGCGTCAGGGGTTTTTTTTTAATACTCAAATTTCTCCCACTTTGAAATAAAGGAATAAATTCTTTACAGAAAGTGGGGATTATAAAGAAGTGTGATCCTCTGTGTGCAGTATCAAGTAGCTTTAAATATTTACACATTTGTAGAGTTCTCTAAATATCTACTTAGACAAATGATTACTGGAGAGCCATGCCAACTCCCAGGAGGATCTGTGTTGTACAGCTTCACAAACAAATGTCATGGCAATAAACCCCAAAATGTCCAGTAATGTTACTGCTGCTAATTAAGAATTAGACGCAAGATCCCTCCCCTTGTCCCCACTTGAGTCTATAGCATGCCGGTAATTTGCAGTTTGTCTGTAACTTTGCATGGCTTTCTCACAAGTATATATATGCTTTGGTGGTATGAGGAAGAAGTAAAGTTTAAAAAAAAAATAAAACCCTTAATTAAGAGTTACCACAACCTTCCTAGAAGTTAGAACTCTTAAAGTCTTAGGAAGTTTTGAGGGGATGGTTATGACATCATCTCGGGGTGTCATACTTCCATTAATTTTGCTGAAGCAGCAGTGAAGGGGGAACATGACACTTAAAACGGGAAAAGGGGACACAGAGTCTTTGCTTAAATGCCACCTTCTCAGAGAGGTCCGCTCTGACGGCTCTTTAAAACTGCCCACGACGCCATCTATCCGGCAACCCTACCTAACCACCTCGGGGTGTAATACATTTATTCATTATGTTCATCTCTCTTCCCACGCCAGCTAGAGTATGAGCTCCCAAAGGAGAAGGGCTTTGTTTTGTGGCGTTTGAACACTGAGAACAGATCCCGGCACATAGTAGGTGTGCCTGTGTGCAGAATAAACGGACATTTAGTAGGCACCTATCTTATGCCAGACCCCCACCCGCCTTAACACTTTCGTGGTGTCGGTTTCCTGCTAACACACAGCAGCTCCCAAGGTGGACGTGGTTGCTGTTTGTTTACTGTTGAGAAACTGAGTCCCGAAGCCTGTGAGTGGCCAGCGTCCGCCCCTCCCATTCTTGTGTAGTAATTTAGTTTGTCCTGACTGACAAGTGCCCAAACCGAACGCCTGTCTATAATTTGGTGATCTAAGATGTCAACAGCGTTTTCTGTCATTCTGGTAATTTGTCACCACTGGCATGTTTTGAACAAACCTTTAAAAAAAAATAAGAAAATGGGGTATTTTTATTTCAATGGGTAAAGCAGGCAATCTAGGCATGCGTACTAGGGGTTTTTGTTGTTTACTTCAGTTTTTTATCCTCTCCACTTGGGTTTAATGGGGGGGGGGGGAGTGAAAGTCCCTGTCTGGTTGGTGGCCAGGGTGGACCCTGCTGTGCAGGTCTGGCTTTTGCAGCTTTCACTGGACTTTTCTGGTTACGGCTGTGGTTCACACGCTGTTTGATCTCCTCCTCTGTCCCCATCATGCACTTTCTGCAGGCGCGCTGGAGATGAAGCAGGGTCTGCAGAAGCCCAGACACCCTGCCCCTGGCTCCGTGGTGGCTGGAAGAGAGGCTGGGACGTAAGGGGCATGTGCCAGGTGCTGGCCGAAGGGGTGCCTGCCAGGTATCGACAGCCCAGTATCGTGGCTCCTTGTCTGGGGAAAATGAAAATAATACAAAGCCGAACAGTAGATGTCTTTTTCTGTCACAGCAGTTCTTCTGGATTGGAAAGAGGTTGTCAAACTGTGGTAGCACGACCGCTCTGCAGACAGGGCGGCAGCCCTTGTCATGGGGCCTGGGAGCCTGGGGCCGATGGACAGGTGGCACTGCTCACAGGTTCAGCTTGCTTTCAGGTGTGCATTTGTGACGTTATTCAGTATTGGGCGTGAATTCTTTTCTTTTCTTTTTTTTAAAGATTTTATTTATTTTTCAAGGGGGAGGGAGGGAGAGAGGGAGAGAAACATTGAAGTGTGAGAGATACATCAGTCGGTTGCCTCTCACACACCCCCAACGGGGGACCTGGCCCGCAACCCAGGCCTGTGTCCTGGGTCCTGTGTCCTATGTCCAATCGAACTGGTGACCTTTCCGTTCTCAGGCCGGTGCTCAACCCACTGAGCCACGCCAGCGGGGGCTGGGCATCAGTTCTTACCTCGCACTTCTGCTGTAATGAGCCACAGACAGACTTGCAGGGGAATCCTGGTGTGTGTGGAATCGCAGCAGACTGGGTTTTTGTTTTCCTCCACATTCCACACTGTTTCTTCTGCAGTTCCAAAGTGAAAGTGGTTCTGAAAGCACGAACATTTAAGGTAGCTTCTGTTGGCATTTGCAAGTATATTTATTTCTAAAACTTTTTATTAAGCTGTAATATACATACAGAAAAGTGTGCTCAGGTGTGCATAGCTCACCACTGAACACACCTGTGTAACCAGCACCCAGATCAAGAAGCAGACCATGACCCCGAAGTCCCTCGCACACCCTTTTCCAGTTGCTGCACCCTCCAAGATAACAACTACCCTCCTGACTCCTAACAGCACCAAAGTTCGTGTGGCCTATTTCGCCTGCCCTCTTTGCCTCAGGGTGTCAGTCAGATTCACCCGGGTTATCGGAGTGGTGATAGTGCATTCTTTGCGCTGTATAGGGTGCCACTGTGCGATTGCATCTCGCGTTCTCTCTCCTTCTCTCGAGAGGCATTCAGATGGGTTTCAGACTACTCCAGGATGCGCACGGTACCGCTGTGAACATTCTAGAACGTGCCCAGTGGGCACGGGCATTCCTTTCTCCTGGGTGTACACGCAGGTGCGGATCT